TTTTTTGTGAATTTTTGGTGAATTTTTGGTGACTTTTTGGTGAATTTTGGGGGAATTTTTGGTGAATTTTGGGGGAATTTTTGGTGACTTTTTGGTGAATTTTGGGGGAATTTTTGGTGAATTTTTGGTGAATTTTCGAGGAAATTTTTGTGAATTTTTGGTGAATTTTTTGTGAATTTTTGGTGAATTTTTTGTGAATTTTTGGTGACTTTTTGGTGACGTTTTGGAGAATTTCTGGGGATTGTTTTCCCGGTGTATCCGTACGCGCATCCGGCGCTGCCGGGGGCAGAGGTAGAGGTCGAGGCAGCGCTCGAAGCGCTCGTGGATGAAGCGGGAATAGGCGGGAACGGCGCGGAGACTCCGGAATTTCCGCGGCAGGAACGGGAGACGGCGCTCCCAGGGCTCCTGGAGACGCCAGGCGGATTCCTGGGAACGGGGCAGAAACACGGGAAAAGTGGGAAAAACGGGGGGGAAAACAATGGGAAAAAGGGAAAAAAAAGGGGGAAAAATGGTAAAAAACGAGGGGAAAAGCACGGGAAAAGTGGGAAAAACGGGGGGGAAAAACAACAGGGAAAAAAGGGGGAAAATGGGAAAAAACGAGGGGAAAAACACGAGAAAAGTGGGAAAAACGGCGGGGAAAAACGGGGTGAAAAAAAAGAAAGAAAAGGGGGAAAATGGTAAAAAACGAGGGGAAAAACACGGGAAAAGTGGGAAAAGCGGGGGGAAAACAACGGGGAAAAATGGGAAAAAAATGGGAAAAAAGGGGGGAAAAACAGGAAAAATGGTGGGGAAACAACGGGGGAAAAAAGGGGAAAAACGGGGAAAAAAGGGGGGGAAAACGGGGAAAAAAGGGGGGAAAATGGGAAAAAATGAGGGGAAAAACACGGGAAAAGTGGGAAAAACGGCGGGAAAACAATGGGGAAAAAGGGGGGAAAAATGGGAAAAAAATGGGAAAAAACGAGGGGAAAAACACGGGAAAAGTGGGAAAAACGGCGGGGAAAAACGGGGTGGAAAAAAGGAAAAAAAAGGGGGAAAATGGTAAAAAACGAGGGGAAAAACACGAGAAAAGTGGGAAAAGCGGGGGGAAGACAACGGGGAAAAAGGGGGGAAAAATGGGAAAAAAAGGGGGGGAAAACGGGAAAAATGGGGGGAAAACAACGGGGAAAGAAGGGGAAAAAATGGGGAAAAACAATGGGAATGGGGAAATGGAAAAACACGGGAAAAGTGGGAAAAACGGGAAAAACGGGGGGGAAACAACAGGAAAAAAGGGGGAAAAATGGGGAAAAATGGGAAAAAACGGGGGGAACAACGGGAAAAAAAGGGGGGAAAACGGGAAAAAAGGGGGAAAAACGGGGGGGAAATGGGAATATGGAAATGGGAAAACACGGGAAAAGTGGGAAAAACGGGAAAAAATGGGGGGAAAAACGGGGGGAAAATGGGAAAAAATGGGGAAAAAATGGGGAAAAACAATGGGAATGGGGAAGTGGAAAAACATGGGAAAAGTGGGAAAAACGGGAAAAAACGGGGGGAATGGGGGGAAAAAGGGGGGGAAAAATGGGGAAAAATGGGAAAAAACGGGGGAAATGGGAACATGGAAATGGGAAAACACAGGAAAAGTGGGAAAAACGGGAAAAACGGGGGGGAATGGGGGGAAAAAGGGGGGGAAATGGGAAAAATGGGGAAAAATGGAGAAAAATGGGAAATGGGAAAAAACGGCAGCGGGAAAAAGGGAAAAATGGGAAGGGGGATGGGAAAAATGGGGAAAAGTGGGAAAAATGGGGGGAAAGCGGGAAAAAATGGGGATGGGAAAATGGGAAAAAAATGGGAGGAAAATGGGATAATGGGGAAAAGTGGGAAAAATGGGAAAAAACGGGGGGAAATGGGAAAAATGGGTGGGAAAATGGGAAAAAATGGGAGGAAAATGGGATAATGGGAAAAATGGGAAAAAACAGGGGGAAATGGGAAAAATGGGTGGGAAAATGGGAAAAAATGGGAGGAAATGGGATAATGGGGAAAAGTAGGAAAAATGGGAGAATGGGGGTGGGGAAATGGGAAAAAATGGGGGAAAACTGGGAAAAAATGGGGGGGAAAATGGGGAAAAATGGGGAGAAATGGGAAAAAACGTGGGAAAAGTAGTAAAAAATGGGATAATGGGGGTGGGAAAATGGGAAAAATGGGGGGAAATGGGGGGAAAATGGGGGAAAAGTGGGGAAAAAGTGGAAAAAAACGGGAGAGCGGGGATGGGAAAAATGGGATAATGAGAAAAATGGGATTTGGGATAGGAAAAATGGGATAATGGGGGAAAAGTGGGAAAAATTGGGGTGGGAAAATGGGATAATGGGAAGAATTGGAAAAAAATGGGGATGGGAATGGGGAAAAATGAGGAAAACGGGAATGGAATGGGGAAAATGGGAATGGGGATGGGAAAAGTGGGATGGGAAAAATGGGATAATGAGGGAAAAGTGGGAAAAATGGAGGAAAAGTAAGAAAAATGGGAGGGGGTGGGGAAATGGGAAAAATTGGGGGGAAAATAGTAAAAAATGGGATAATGGGGGTGGGAAAATGTGAAAAATGGGGGGAAATGGGGAAAAATGGAGGAAAGGGGGAATAAATGGGGGAAAAGTGGGAAAAATGGGAGAGTGGGGTGGGAAAATGGGATTTGGGATGGGAAAAATGGGATAAATGGAGGGGAATGGGATAAGGGGGGGAAAGTGGGAAAAAATGGGATAATGTGGGTGGGGAAAACGGGAAAAATGGGGGAAAAGCGGGAAAAAATGGGGGAAAAGTGGGAAAAAATGGGGGGAAAATTGGGAAAAGTGGGAAAAATGGGGGTAAAATGGGAAAAATGGAATAATGGGGGTGGGAAAATGGGGAAAGGGAGGGAAAAATGGGATAGTGGTGGGAAAAATGGGGATGAGAATGAGAAAGGGGGAATGGGGATGGAAAATGGGGATTGGGAATGGGATAACGGGAATGGAAAAAATGGGAAAATGGTGGGAAAAATGGGGGGGGAATTGGGATAATGGGACGGGAAAAATGGGATAATGGGGGGAATGGGACAATGGGAAAATGGGAATGGGGATGGGAAAAATGGGATAATGGGAAAAATGGGATAACGGGGAAATGGGAATGGAAAAATGGGATAATGGGGAAATGGGAATGGAAAAATGGGATAAATGGGGAAATGGGAATGGAAAAACGGGATAAATGGGGAAATGGGAATGGAAAAATGGGATAACGGGGAAATGGGAATGGAAAAATGGGATAACGGGGAAATGGGAATGGAAAAACGGGAATGGCGATGGGGAAAATGGGAAAAATGGGATAATGGGACGCTGATCCCACCGGGATCTTCCCATCCCGGTCCACCCCAATCCATGGGAAGAGATCCCAACTCTCCCACGATCCCAACCCATCCACCACCGACAATCCCCCAAAAAAAAAACCCCAAAAATTCCCCCAAATTCCCCGAAATTCCCGAAAATTCCCGTCATTCCCGGCACCTCGTCGGGGCTGAGCAGGAATTCCGGGGGCGGGTTGTAGGATTCGGCGTGGCCCGGCAGCGGCATTTTGGGAGCGGGGACGTGCATCTTGTGCCGGCCCAGGATGGAGTCGGGGTCTTCCCGAGCCCAGAGGTCGTAAAAAACGGGAACGTTTTCCTTGGGTTTCCGGGGCTGGATCCAGCCCATCTTGATGGCGTGGACCAGTTTGGAGACCTGGCCGGAATTCCCGGGATTTGGGAACAGGGGGTCGGTTCTTGGGTGGAGTTTGGGGTTGTTGGGATCTTCCCGATCTTCCCGATCCATTGGGATCTTCCCGGTCCCCTCCATCCCACCGGGATCTTCCCAATCCATTGGGATCTTCCCAATCCCCTCAATCCCACCGGGATCTTCCCAATAACCCCTTCAATCCCACCGGGATCTTCCCAATCCCTTCAATCCCACCGGGATCTTCCCAATCTTCCCGATCCATTGGGATCTTCCCATTCCCTTCAATCCCACCGGGATCTTCCCAATCCCTTCAATCCCACCGGGATCTTCCCAATCCCTTCAATCCCACCGGGATCTTCCCAATCTTCCCGATCCACCGGGATCTTCCCAATCCCTTCAATCCCTTGGGATCTTCCCAATCTTCCCGATCCATTGGGATCTTCCCAATCCCTTCAATCCCACCGGGATCTTCCCAATCCCTTCAATCCCACCGGGATCTTCCCAATCTTCCCGATCCATTGGGATCTTCCCGGTCCCCTCCATCCCACCGGGATCTTCCCAATCTTCCCGATCCATTGGGATCTTCCCAATCCCTTCAATCCCTTGGGATCTTCCCAATCTTCCCAATCCATTGGGAACTTCCCAATCCCTTCAATCCCACCGGGATCTTCCCAATCCTCCCGATCCATTGGGATCTTCCCGGTCCCCTCCATCCCACCGGGATCTTCCCAATCCATTGGGATCTTCCCAATCCCCTCAATCCCACCGGGATCTTCCCAATAACCCCTTCAATCCCACCGGGATCTTCCCATTCCCTTCAATCCCACCGGGATCTTCCCAATCCCCTCAATCCCACCGGGATCTTCCCAATCTTCCCGATCCATTGGGATCTTCCCATTCCCTTCAATCCCACCGGGATCTTCCCAATCCCTTCAATCCCACCGGGATCTTCCCAATCTTCCCGATCCATTGGGATCTTCCCGGTCCCCTCCATCCCACCGGGATCTTCCCAATCCATTGGGATCTTCCCAATCCTCTCCAGCTTTTCCATCCTCCTCAATCCCATTGGGATCTTCCCAATCTCTTTATCCCACCTGGGTATTCCCAAACCCTTCAATCCCACCGGGATCGTTCCCAATCCTCCCAATCCATTGGGATCTTCCCAATCCCACCGGGATCGTTCCCAATCCCCTCAATCCCATTGGGATCTTTCCTCATCCCCACTGGGATCTTCCCAATCCATTGGGATCGTTCCCAATCCTCCCAATCCATTGGGATCTTCCCGGTCCCCTCCATCCCACCGGGATCTTCCCAATCCATTGGGATCTTCCCAATCCTCTCCAGCTTTTCCATCGTCCTCAATCCCATTGGGATCTTCCCAATCTCTTTATCCCACCTGGGTATTCCCAAACCCTTCAATCCCACCGGGATAGTCCCAATCCTCCCAATCCATTGGGATCTTCCCAATCCCACCGGGATCTTCCCAATTTCCTCATCCCAGTGGGATCTTCCCAATCCCCTCTATCCCACTGGGATCTCTCCTCGATCCCACCAGGATCTTCCCAATCCACTGGAATCTTTCCCCATCCCACCAGAATTTTCCCAACCCTCCCCATCCATTGGGATCATCCCAATCCCTTCAATCCCATCCAGATCTTCCCAATCCCACCGGGATCGTTCCCAATCCCCTCCATCCCATTAGGATCTTTCCTCATCCACGATTCCCTCGGGATCTTCCCAATCCATTGGGATCGTTCCCAATCCTCCCAATCCATTGGGATCTTTCCTTATCCCACCGGGATCTTCCCAATCCTCCCAATCCCACCAGGATATTCCCAATCCTCCCAATCCCACCGGGATCATTCCCAATCACCACAATCCCATTGGGATCTTTCCTCATTCCCACTGGGATCTTCCCAACGCTCCCATTCCATCGGGATCTTCCCAATCCATTGGGATTGTTCCCAATCCTCCCAATCCATTGGGATCTTTCCTTACCCCACCGGGATCTTCCCAATCCTCCCAATCCCACCAGGATATTCCCAATCCCCACAATCCCATTGGGATCTTTCCTCATCCACACTGGGATCTTCCCAACGCTCCCATTCCATCGGGATCTTCCCAATCCATTGGGATTGTTCCCAATCCTCCCAATCCCTTGGGATCGTTCCCAATCCCCTCCATCCCACCGGGATCCTCCCAATCCCTTGGGATCTTCCCAATCGCTTCAATCCCACCGGGATCTTCCCAATCCCACCGGGATCTTCCCAATTTCCTCATCCCAGTGGGATCTTCCCAATCCCCTCTATCCCATTGGGATCTTTCCCCGATCCCACCAGGATCTTCCCAATCCACTGGAATCTTTCCCCATCCCACCAGAATTTTCCCAACCCTCCCCATCCATTGGGATCATCCCAATCCCTTCAATCCCATCCAGATCTTCCCAATCCCACCGGGATCTTCCCAATCCCACCGGGATCGTTCCCAATCCCCTCCATCCCATTGGGATCTTTCCTCATTCCCACTGGGATCTTCCCAATCCATTGGGATCGTTCCCAATCCTCCCAATCCATTGGGATCTTTCCTTATCCCACCGGGATCTTCCCAATCCTCCCAATCCCACCAGGATATTCCCAATCCCCTCAATCCCATTGGGATCTTTCCTCATCCCCACTGGGATCTTCCCAACACTCCCATTCCATCGGGATCTTCCCAATCCATTGGGATTGTTCCCAATCCTCCCAATCCCTTGGGATCATTCCCAATCCCCTCCATCCCACTGGGATCCTCCCAATCCATTGGGATCTTCCCAATCGCTTCAATCCCACCGGGATCTTCCCAATCCCACCGGGATCTTCCCAATTTCCTCATCCCAGTGGGATCGTTCCCAATCCCCTCTATCCCATTGGGATCTTTCCCCGATCCCACCAGGATCTTCCCAATCCACTGGAATCTTTCCCCATCCCACCAGAATTTTCCCAACCCTCCCCATCCATTGGGATCATCCCAATCCCTTCAATCCCATCCAGATCTTCCCAATCCCACCGGGATCGTTCCCAATCCCCTCCATCCCATTGGGATCTTTCCTCATTCCCACTGGGATCTTCCCAATCCATTGGGATCGTTCCCAATCCTCCCAATCCATTGGGATCTTTCCTTATCCCACCGGGATCTTCCCAATCCTCCCAATCCCACCAGGATATTCCCAATCCCCTCAATCCCATTGGGATCTTTCCTCATCCACACTGGGATATTCCCAATCCCTCGGGATCTTCCCAATCCTCCCATTCCATTGGGATCGTTCCCAATCCCTTCAATCCCACCGGGATCGTTCCCAATCCCACCGGGATCATTCCCAATCCCTTCCATCCCACCGGGATCGTTCCCAATCCCCTCCATCCCACCGGGATCGTTCCCAATCTCACCGGGATCGTTCCCAATCCCTTCCATCCCACCGGGATCGTTCCCAATCCCTTCAATCCCACCGGGATCGTTCCCAATCCCACCGGGATCGTTCCCAATCCCTTCCATCCCACCGGGATCGTTCCCAATCCATTGGAATCTTCCCCCATCCCACTGGAATCTTCCCAATCTTCCCAATTCATCAGGATTTTCCCAATCCCCTCCACCCCACCGGGATTTTCTCAATCCTCCTCATCCCACTGGGATCTTTCCTCATTCCACTGGGATTTTCCCAATCCTCCCATTCCATTGGGATCTTCCCTTATCCCATCGGGATCTTCCCAATCCACCGGGATCATCCCAATCCCTTCAATCCCTTGGGATTGTTCCCAACCCTTCCATTCCATTGGGATCTTCCCAATCCCTTCAATCCCATCCAGATTTTCCCAATTCCACTGGGATCTTCCCAATCCCCTCCATCCCACCGGGATCCTCCAAATTCCCACCGGGATCGTTCCCAATCCCACCAGGATCGTTCCCAATCCCCTCAATCCCATTGGGATCTTTCCTCATTCCCACTGGGATCTTCCCATTCCCTCGGGATCCTCCCAATCCATGTTCCCAATCCTCCCAATCCATTGGGATCTTTCCTTATCCCACCGGGATCTTCCCAATCCTCCCAATCCCACCAGGATATTCCCAATCCTCCCAATCCCTTGGGATCGTTCCCAATCCCCTCCATCCCACCGGGATCCTCCCAATCCCTTGGGATCTTCCCAATCCCTTCAATCCCACTGCGATCGTTCCCAATCCCTTGGGATCTTCCCAATCCCTTCAATCCCACCGGGATCTTCCCAATTTCCTCATCCCAGTGGGATCGTTCCCAATCCCCTCTATCCCATTGGGATCTTTCCCCGATCCCACCAGGATCTTCCCAATCCACTGGAATCTTTCCCCATCCCACCAGAATTTTCCCAACCCTCCCCATCCATTGGGATCATCCCAATCCCTTCAATCCCATCCAGATCTTCCCAATCCCACCGGGATCGTTCCCAATCCCCTCCATCCCATTAGGATCTTTCCTCATCCACGATTCCCTCGGGATCTTCCCAATCCTCCCATTCCATTGGGATCGTTCCCAATCCCTTCAATCCCACCGGGATCGTTCCCAATCCCACCGGGATCGTTCCCAATCCCTTCCATCCCACCGGGATCGTTCCCAATCCCTTCAATCCCACCGGGATCGTTCCCAATCCCACCGGGATCGTTCCCAATCCCTTCCATCCCACCGGGATCGTTCCCAATCCATTGGAATCTTCCCCCATCCCACTGGAATCTTCCCAATCTTCCCAATTCATCAGGATTTTCCCAATCCCCTCCACCCCACCGGGATTTTCTCAATCCTCCTCATCCCACTGGGATCTTTCCTCATTCCACTGGGATTTTCCCAATCCTCCCATTCCATTGGGATCTTCCCAATCCCTTCAATCCTATCCAGATTTTCCCAATTCCACTGGGATCTTCCCAATCCCCTCCATCCCACCGGGATCCTCCAAATTCCCTCGGGATCGTTCCCAATCCCCTCAATCCCACCAGGATCTTCCCAATCCACTTGGGATCGTTCCCAATCCCCTCCATCCCACCGGGATCATTCCCAATCCCCTCCATCCCACCGGGATCATTCCCAATCCCACCGGGATCGTTCCCAATCCCCTCCACCCCACCGGGATC